GTTAAGAAGGTGAAGCAAAAGAAGCCGAAGAAGCCGAAGATTTCTGTGGCGGAAGCTGCAGCCAAGATTGACCGGCCGATCTCGCCGCATTTCTTGTTGATATATCGGTAAGGAAGGAAATGGTTTGCGAATTGTGCGTGTCTTGTTGTGATTCGTTTCGATCCGTTGATTTTTATTGGATTGTTTGATTAGGGCACGTATGGATCCCAGCAAGAGATACAAATGATGAGGTTTGCGATTATTTCGGGAGGGCATTTTCGGGGTCAGTGCGTCTCAGTTCCCTTGGATGAAGCTTTTCAAAGAGAACACTGTGGCGAAGATGCTGATGTAAGTTTCGTGATTTTGTTTTATGAAGCTTACATGTGATGTCGAACTTCAAATGTTTGTAAAATTGAAGAATTGTTTGAGGGTTGGGTTATGAGGAGGCACATGGGGGGGGGGGGGGGGGGGGGGGGGGGGGTGGTTGGGGTTGTTGTCAATGGGATATTTCATTGAGAAATAAAATGTCTGGTAACCCTACTGGCTGTAGGGGAACCGTTGAGCTTTTTTTCCCTCTCTTTTTGCTAGTTTGTTTACCTAATTGGTTAATATTTTTATAACAGATCCCCATTTCTCACATTTCGGATGCTGTTTATAAGACATCAATTGACTGGATCAACCAACGATCCCCTGAAGCACTTTCGTCCTTTGTATTATGGTCTTTGGATAGCATTCTTGTTGACCTCGATGCCCATCATGCTGGTGCAAAGGGTTCTAAGAAGGTCGTGCAACAAGCTTCAAAATCCCAGGTAAAACTTTCTGCCATGGATGCTTTTGCTTATATCTGTCTTTGTCTTTTTATGCATGATTTTGGTGGATGGTTATGTATAATTGCAGTACCAATGGTTGCCTATATTTATTATCGTTTTGTTAGCTAATAGCTCATTTCTCTTATCTATATCTTTAAACATGTAATTTTTTCCTAAGATTATGTGAGATTATTTTTAAAGATAGTCATTTTTTGTTAAAAAACTGTATGCGGTTTTATTTTTTGAATTTTTCTTAATGCAATATATATATATATATACTTAATTTTTTTTTTATAAAATTAAACCCTATACATGTTTGTGACTTTTGTTGGAGTGCTACTTTCATAATCACATCAATTATTGGATTCCAACTTGGATCAATTAAAAGATTAACTTTGAAAAATGTTGCTAGTAGGTTTGAAGGGTTTCTTCTATTCTAACCCAGGAAACAGGTTCTTTAATAGTAAGAACCGTGAGTTTGTCATGGAATAGGTTCTCTCATGCTGACATTTTTGTCTAACTAGGGCAGCTTGAAAGATAAATTGAGAAATATAGTGTTACTTCTAATGCATATGGACATAGTCAGACTTATGAGAGTAGTGATTTTGCCAAATGAAAGACTACATTTGCCATATTTCAGAACCAATTTATGATTGTCAAATTTAATGATAAAAATAACAATTGATCATTTCAAAATTTTGTCTATTTCTAATAACCAATGAGCTTACCTTTCATTAAAAGATCTTTCATTGTTGTTCTACAGCTTTGAATTTGAATTTCGTAGGATGTCCCGGTGTTGACTTTATAATTGGTGATTTGATATTTTCAATTTAGATAACCTTTAATGATTAGAAGTGAATGCTTTGCACTCTCTGTTATGCCTTCTCCTTTAGATAAAGGGTTAGAGGATGCAGCTGATCAATTATGATTAACTTTCACAAACGTGAGCTGATTGGTTATTCTCAATGTACTTGCTATACGCCACATTGCATTTTGGATGCAAGAAGTTTTATCTTCTTCCATTGAGGCCTAAGCTAGGTGACACCAATTCTCCATAATTCTCTAATGAGATTATAATCACTTATAACGAGAGATGAATAACTAACTGCTAGGATCGACAATTTTTGGCTTTGATATTATTTGCTCCAAGAGATGTTTAGGGCTTTTAAAATTAGCTGAACTGTTGCTAGTTTTGTTGATTTTTGTTTAGAGTATATGTTTGTTTGTGCATAATGGAAAATTTTATTTTGTGATAGGTCTGTGGACTTTGTTTATAGTCATTCATTGCGGTTGGTTTGCAATTAAATAAAGGCAGCTCATTAGATTTTGTTGCCATTTAAATGCTAAGGGTGTGTTTGTTTTATTATTTTGAGTAGTATTTTTGAAATATTATTGTTAAATAGAGTTCGGTGATTATTACGAGGTAGAATTTAAAAATTAACAAAGAAAACCCCTAGATTTGCTAATTTAGCTAAACACCCAAATATATAAAATTTTTGTAAAATGACAAAAACACTCCCACCCACCCATAGTGGCCAGATTCCGGCCACCAGCGCTGGAATCTGGCGTTGCGGCGCACGACCGACCGGATCTGGCTAGTCGTTCGTAGATCTGGCCTTTTTCGGCCAGATTCAGGTCGTCGACGACCAAAGATATTGCCGTCGTTGACGGCCAGATCTGGCCGAAGAAGACCTGATCGGTTCATTACCAGACATTTCCGGCCGGTAGTGCGTCGTTGTGACAGATTCTGGCCACCACCAATGGTGGTTGTCGGAATCTGACAACTATGAGTGGGTGGGGGTGTTTTGTCAATTTATAAATTTTTTTGTTGGGGGTGTTTTTGTCAATTAGCAAACCTAAGGGGTTTAAAAAGGTTTCTTAATTTAGAATATGATTTTGAAAATAGGGAAACAAACACGCATTTGTTTTTGGAATAAGGACAGGATAGTGGTGAAATAACGAAACAAACGCAGCATAAGTTTTTTTTTTTCCCTCTCTATATTAGAGTTTTAAGTTGTAGAGTGAACCTATAATTTTAAGATATTAAGCTGTGACCATTTCAATTGCTTAATTCTTTCTTGTGCTACCTTTACACTCCAATTTATTGTGAGCTGTCTTTGGAATAAATCAAATGCTAGCTTGTAAATGAATCCTAAAACATTTTCACATTGGATTGGCATTTAAGTAATGTATTATTGAAATGGCAGGTTGCAATTTTTGTGGCTTTGACAATGGTTTTGCGACGAAAACCTGATGCCTTAATTAGTGTTCTACCAATGTTGAGGGAAAGTCAAAAGTATCAGGGACAAGATAAACTTCCAATTATTGTATGGATGATTACACAGGTTAGTGAAAAACAACTATGTATTAGCATAACAAAGGGATCTACTTGGAAAACAAACTATGCTAGTTGTTAATCTTCCCAACATATATATGCTTCTTATGCCAGTTACCAAAATTTTGTTGTCTAGGCTTCTCAAGGGGATCTGGCTGTTGGGTTGTATGCATGGGCACATAATCTTTTGCCTGTAGTTGGTAGCAAAAGTTGCAATCCACTGTTCAGGGACATAATTTTGCAGCTTGTGGAGAGGTATGGAGGGTTTTAAAGTTTACAATATTTTCTCACTTCAAATTCTTGTCTCTTTCTGACATTTTGTATTTTGGTTGCAGAATCTTATCTACCCCAAAGGCTCGTACAATCTTAGTGAATGGAGCAGTTAGAAGGGGGGAGCGTATGGTGCCACCTGCTGCCCTTGAGACACTGTTGCGACTTACATTCCCTACATCTTCAGCTAGAGTAAAGGTGTGTATTGGCAACGGGCATTTACAGTCTGGGTTTATATATATAGATTTGGTGCTCAAACTTCTGTTTGGATGTGATGATTCATGTAGGCTACAGAAAGGTTTGAGGCAATATATCCCACCTTAAGAGAGGTGGCTCTTGCTGGTGCCACTGGAAGCAAAGCAATGAAACAAGTTTCACAGCAGATACTGAGTTTTTCTGTCAAACTAGCGGGAGAAAGTATGCAAACCTGAATTACATTTTCATCTCGGTTGTTTTCTAAGAAAATATTGAAAGATGATAGGTTTTGAAGTTTATATTGAGATAGTTGTCTTTTACAGGCACTCCTGAGTTATCAAATGAAGCAGCTGGCATATTCATCTGGTGTTTGACGCAAAATGCTGATTGCTACAAGCAGTGGGTAAGCTGTTCTAATTTTTATCTCTCTTTGTTCATGGCAGTTTTTTCCATTTCTTCTTTTGGCTCTGCCATGTAGAATTTACATATTCTTTTTATCATACCGTGCATATAAACAGGACAAGGTTTATCAGGACAATCTAGAAGCTAGTGTCGCTGTTCTGAAAAAGCTTTCTGGTGAATGGAAAGAGCAATCTTCAAAACTCTTACCTTTCGACTCTTTGAAGACGACCCTCAAGAGCTTTAGGCAGAAGGTAGCCCTCTATTATTTTAGGATATTTAACATTGCACGACCATCTCAATTGCAATTCTAATGATTATGCAAACATAGTTAACTTAACTAATGCCCTTTTTCAAACTTCTTTTTTATAGAATGAGAATGCCATTGCTGGTGGGGCCGACGCTGCACTCCTAGCACTCTTCAAGAATTCAGACAAGTATTGTAAACATATATTGGGAAAGTTGTCAAGCGGCCATGGTTGCCTCAAAAGCGTTGCCGTCGTTGCTGTTGCATTGGCTGTGGGTGCGGCTTTCATGTCCCCGAACATGGAGTCCCTTGATTGGAAGAAAATTTCTGTAGCTTTCAACTCCCACGGATCTTTTTGAGCATGATGTTTTATGTGTGTCGCAATTACTGATGCAAAGCATCGTTTTGTTCTTACCAATACTAGCTTCTTCTCTTCTTTCCGAACTTTCTGCTTCTGACCAAGGCAAAAGGGGAATATCTTTTAATTTTACCGTTGTTTAGGGACATGAAATGATCTGATGACTTGAATACAGTATCAGAATACAGGCCTTTAGATTTTGCTTGAAAAAAGCCGGCATCTCCCTGGAAAATAAGGTTGAAGAAGATCGTCCCATTTACGTGGTGGCTTACGCAAAAAAGATAACTTTATTTCATTATTTTTTTTTTGCTTGTAGATTCTAATCATATGAATGATTAAGTTAATGGGTGAGATACATTTAGAAACGCCTCTGAGAAATGAAATTTCCATACGATTAAATTTTACCCATTTGTGTCAATCTTTGATCTCTATTTCAAGTAATTATTGTGACTAAAATAAGCATGTCTTTACATTCAATATATGAAACTCAAGATTTTGATAGTACAATTAATTTTTATTCATAATCTTCAGGTTCGGCAAAGGGAAACTTCGAATAATAATTTTTAACTTATGAAGGATCTTCAGGTGTAGACCATGGATATTTCATTGATGGATCTCTTGGAAGTCTCCTAAAGTTGAGAAATGGTGCCCAAATCAGTAGCCTGTAAATTAGAATTTAATAAATCAGTATCCCTATTTAAATAAAATAACATTAACATTTCTTACTTAAAAAAATAAAAAATAAAAAAAACTCACCCTGGGAAGAACAGGAAGACAAACATGAATTGCAAATACATTTCCAGTAGCTTTCTCTTATACCATCTTACTCTAAGCCAGTTCATTATAATTGGCTGCCATTAATTAAGCAACTATAAGATTAGCAAAATATAAGAAAATTCAACATTTTATCGGAAAAAAAGGATACATAATAATAATAATATATATAAAAAAAAAAAAAAATACTCACCGGCATGATAAGGAAGTACCAAACTGCAATAATTCCAAGTTTTATTATAACTGTGACCAAATCTACATCATAATTATTCTCTCCAGTTACTGCAATTGCTGGCTGCTCAAACTGATTAACCAAAATTAACAATTCCCATTTAAGCTTAAAGAAAAAAAAAAAAAATTTAAAATGGATGAATCCTTACAGTAGCCAAAAGTATAGCTCCAAGTTGAACTGCCAATCCAGATTTTTTCTCATCTAAGAAGTGAAATGCCTTCTGGGGTAAGCTCGAAAGAAGTTTCTGCCATGAAATTAGTTTGTGAAACTCATGATTCAAAGAAGAAAAAGGAGGAGGGAAAAGTTGAGTTACCTTATTAATCTTGATGGGGTTGGTTGATTTTTGTAGAGATGTAATGGAGAGAGGAGATGGTTTTGTTCTTCTTCTGCATTGAGTAGAGGAAAGAGATGGCAAAGCCTTGAGAGATTGGAGGCTGAATGAGCAGCTCATTTCAGAGCTCTACTCTATCTGCTTTTGTTTGTGTTTGATTCGTTTTTTTTCTTATCTTTGAATTTGGTTTCATGGCATAGAATTATGCATGGGCTCTCCCTCTCTTAAGAAAAAGACAAAAGAATAATAATAAATAATGTCCATTTAAGTGTTTGGAGTCTTAAGATGGTGACCACATAATTATTTATTTATTTTACGGTGAGATCAATTTAATATTAATATATTTATTCATCTCTCTCAAATTTAGTCTATTTACAAGATGATCTTTTGCTAAAATTTTTACAATTTATTTTAACTAAATTACTCTGGAGAAAAATTTGTCAAATCAGGAATAATTTATTCGTCATTATCAAATGGAGGAGGGATATTTTCGTCAATTTAATCAAACTTTGATTATTTCTCAGAAGTTTTGAAAATGGAGTAATTTCCAAAAATACCCTTAAAATTAAAATTTGGCTATTGTTGATAACAGCTTTAATATCTTTCTTCTTTAGTGATTTGAACTTGTTTTCATCGGGAAAACTCTCTGAGTTCAAATGAGCAATTCCAGTAATGTTGCCGCCGATTCATTCAAACTCGGGCAGCGAGTTCACTCAGCCAACGACACGCGTCGAATCGGTACGGTTAAGTACGTAGGAGAAGTGCAGGGCTATTCAGGCACGTGGATCGGAGTCGATTGGGATGGCGACGGCAACGGTAAGCACGACGGCTCCGTCAACGGTGTCCGTTACTTCAATGCACGATCAGAGAAGTCCGGATCCTTTGTTCGGGTCCAGAACTTGAGTCCAGGTATTTCGTTGCTTGAAGCTCTTCAACTCAGATACAAAGGCGAGGCTAGTAAAGAGGAAGAAGGTCAGTGATTAATTTAATTAATTTATTTTTGTTTTTATTTATTGTTATTATTATTTTTTAGAATGGAACATTTGTTAAATTGTAAATTCTATGCTACTGGTTCAGTAACGTTACCAAGATAATTACAGTGAAAAAAAAAATGATAATTATATAAATGATGGTTTATACTGTATATAATGTACATTTATATTCTATTTTTACCATAAATGTTATTAATAATATGATACTGTTCCAGTAATGTTACTGTGTCAGTTAGAGTTCGAAAATGATAAAATTTTCAGATTATAGGTTTTAAATTTCTAAAATGATGGAGGTAACTCTTTACAAACTGATGTTGTGGCTTTGCGAAATGCTCATTCCGTTAACGTTTTATTGGGATTTTAGCAATCGGTAACATGGCAGTTTATTTGTTAAAGTGGGTAGTTGGATGTTGGTCAGGTAACGTTACTATTTAGTTTCAATAATGTGATTGGTAAAATGTAGCAATGCTGTGTTGCTTTATATTTCTTTTACTTTGACAATGGAGTTTCCAATTATGTTGTGGCACATTCCATGTGATTTCTGTTGTTTTTGGTAATGTTATGAGCATTTGTTTTTGGGTAATGTAGCTAAATTCTTGTTGAATTGGCTTATTTTGTAGATGAAATGTATGTTCTATCAGCGACGAACAAACGTGTGTCAGTTGAATTTGTGGGTAAAGAAAAAATTCAAGATAAGTTAAGTAAATTTGAAGAGTTGAAGAGTGCCTCATTATCTTTTATGGGTGTTAGCTCTCTTGGAGTTGATATTGGAACTATTGTGCCGAGTAAGTTGCTTTCTTTTCCTTTTTGTTTGTTGAAAGAAAATTAATGACTGAAATGATTCAAATTTTTTTTTGCCTGAGTTGGCGATTATATTTAGTTCTGATATTCAAACTTTTGTAGAACTAAAGGAGCTTGACTTGACTGGAAATTTGCTTTCAGAATGGAAGGTGTGTGTTCCTGCAATATGTAGCTTGTAAGAGTTGTTTTATGTGTTTCTCCACTAATATATACATTTCTGCTATTTGCATCACAGTTTGTACTCATGTCATTTGTGAACTATTATTTTTGCCAAATTATATACTTTCTTAGATAGATTAATTCATGGTCTTTTCTATAAATTTTATATGAGGCTATCCTTGTTGAAATTTCTTAAATCCCGATTCACCACTTGACAAATTGGCTTATTGTAAACAATTGAACTGAGGCTTTAACACCTTAAGATGCATCAGAAATCACACCATTAAGGTAGCTGATGTTTGATGTGCTATGCGAAAAAGTAGGAAATATGATATTCTTACAGCAAGCAATTTGCTGTTACAGTTTTAAAATTAAGGGCCCATGTATGTTTTCCGTGGTTCTCATTGCAAAAATCCTATTCAGTACACATTTGTGAGTATTCACAACAAGTCTCCATCCTCCCCCAAAGGGAAAAAAGGGTAAAAAGAAATGCAATTTGTAGTTGATGACTTGTTCCAACATCTTTGAGGTGCTTTTATAAAATTTTGTTTTCCGGATATTGAAATATACATCTGGCGAGTTTGTAGTTCCTTGTCACAATGTGCAGATGCCTTTTTTGTTGGCAATAATAGATGGTAAACATTAGAATTTCTTTTTAATTAAGTTCATTATTTGTAGCAGATGAATCCGATTTTTGAGAGGCTAGTTTTATTCAAAGCTTATTGAAGAGCTTGCGCTGGTGTTAGTGGCATATAAACTAATGTTTTTCTAGAATATTTTATGAGTAAAAGTTGCTTCTGTTGCATAGCCTGGTATCTTGTTTGAGTTGGTCTTTCCTTGCAGGTTGTTGGTGCCATCTGTGAACAGTTACCAGGTCTCACTGCTATCAATTTTTCTAATAATATAATGTCAAAGGATATCTCTGGACTGCCACAACTAAAAGGCATCTGCATTTTAGTTTTAAACAATACTGGTATAAATTGGGTGCAGGTAGGTTATTTTCTCCTTCCTTCTTTTCTTTCCATGTTTTATTCATATACTTCAATTTTGAAATACCATATTTTTCTTGATATTCAGGTTGAAATAATCAAGCCTTCATTGCCAGCAATTGAAGAGCTACATCTCATGGGAAATAATATAAGTGCCATACAGGTAGTGCTTGTTGGAAAACCTTAATTTATGGCCTCAAAGTCACTCAATAATCTCATTTAGACCCCGCTAAGCATTTTATTGTTTGTCCTTATCTTTGAGAATTTATTTTGCCAAATTAATACAATTTCACCAAGATAATGGGTGGCTGTTATGCATAAATTTATCATATGATTGCAATCTTGTTATGGATGGAAAATGAAAATTATAAAAGTGCTATAAACTAGAGAGATAGAAAGAAAAGTAGAGAGAGAAGAGTTCATAATATGTTTTTTTTCTTTTAGAAGATAAAGAAAGACTATTAGGTAGAGATAGGGGAGAAAATAGTTCATTGATCATATTATTTCTGTAATCAAATCTTTATTCTCCGAAGAAAAAATATACAACCAAATAATTTTGGAAGAAACTATTATGAGTATGAACAATAAATAGTATTGGAGTAGAGCAACAGTTCGTGGAGTATGTCTATGTAGATCCCATGCTTTCTAAGAAAACAAGAAATATTTTTGGATTTCGTCTTTTCTCTGCTCATCTCTGCTTTCTTTATCCACTTTAGTTGTTTGCCTTTCAATAATTTTAAAGCTCAATCTTTTTGTTCAATGACTCTTTCTATTCATGCTCTGGTTTCTAGCCTGTGTCATCACCTGTTGTTCAAGGATTTGAGACCTTGCGACTTTTGAATTTGGAAGACAACTCTATAGCTGAATGGAATGAAATCCTAAAGCTTTCTCAGCTAAGAAGGTTAGAAAGAACTGACTGCTCCTCTATCAGCAATTTTGGTATAAAATTTTCTATTGTGAGTTGCTAAATTTTGCTGTGATCTGTTAAATACGGTTTCTGCTTTCAGCTTGGAGCAGCTTTATTTGAACAACAACAATTTGAGCCGCATCTATTACCCTGATGATTATGCAATATGCAAACTGCTCGGTGCATCTGAATCTCATGAGAAAAGCTATATGCCATTTCAGAACTTGCGCTGCCTTCTTCTGGGTAATTTGTGAGAACTTCCAATGAGCTTTGATGCTTCCTTTCTCTTTGATTATTCCGCAATTGTTCTGATTTTTGCTTTTTCAGGAAATAATAAGATCGAGGACCTGGCCTCAATTGACACACTGAATTTATTTCCTAAATTGATGGTAATGTCTATTTCATCCGTCACATATTAAAACCTCTTTAATATCATCTTAGGAGCCAAAAACATACCGCAACTTCATGATATTTATACAATCTTCGGGATCTTGTTATCTATTTTTACTTGAAAATGTTCATTAATATTGACAATATTCCAGGTCATATGCTAAAAGACTACAGCACTAATTACTATCTCTTCCTCTTTCTCACATATGCACACAACTTGTATGCTCCTTATTTTTTGTTCACGATCCATATACAAAATCCTAGGTTGGTTAATGGCTTATATTTTTATTACTCTTCTTTCTTTATATTGAAGGAAATAAGGCTTTCTGAAAACCCAATAGCAGATCCTGGTAGAGGTGGTATCCCAAGGTTTGTATTGATTGCACGTTTAGGAAAGATTGAAATACTAAATGGGAGTGAGGTAAAACTTTAGTACTTTGATGGTATCCAATTTTTTGTTTTTATTCAAGGTTGTGAATCTAATGCATCTGTATTTAATACACCTTTTTAGGTAAGCCCTCGTGAAAGGAAGGACTCTGAGATTCGGTAAATATTTTATTCTGTACCAGTTTGCTCAGTGCTCACCTCTTCTGATTAATATAAGCTACTGTCCTCACCCATTTGTTTCCTACCCTTGTACATTTATGGAAATACTTGTGCTATATGTTTAGATTTCCTCTTGGCTGTTAGGAGCTATTTTCTTAAGGGTAAAGTAATGATAAGATCTGAAAGCCCATAAGAAAAAAGGACACAACCAGGTTGAATGTTCAGTTAACCAATTTTATCTTGACATGCATTCAAGCTTTATTGTGGCAGCCATAGGTTTGAGATGAGATTCTGCCAGGTGTGAGGTAATTAGTGGCCAGTTTGGTAGGTTACAGGCTTAAAATTAGACAAGAGGATAGATGCAATTATATTTTTGTAGCTAATAAGTTCACACAGAAGATAGAACTCTTGTAGAAGAATAACTGCTCAATTTTTAAAGAACTTTCATTCTAATGAAAATTCTTTACATGGAGTACTATAATTGGATAACAAGGAGGTTTTAAGCATATCTAAACACTTTTGCTTCTTACATCTATATAGAGATACAACATCCTTCACTTAAGATAGAGAGAGAGAAGGAAAATATGTGAAAAGAAGTGGGGAATAGAAAAAAGTTTTATATGGGACATAGTATTTTTTAGATATTTAACAGGTTAGTAAATGTTCACATGTTTCTTGTTTCTTATAGAAAAAATGGTATTGCAAAATTATAGTGTGTTATGTTAGAGAGAGGAACAGAAAACTTAGATATTAATGGTATCTAACTAAGCTCATTGTTGTTGATTCACTAGAACACAATATGATCCAGAATCTTTCTTGCAGGTATGTTCGCCTTGTTATGTCAAAGTTGCATGACAATCCTGAAGAAATAAAACAGCTGCATCCTAGGTAATTTTACTTCAGTGAAGCATTTGTTATCGACCATAGCCAGTTCAATTCCTCTATTTGTCAGCTTATCATTGAGAAGGGTTACAGATAAAATATGGTGTATTCAATACTCCTGTCAAAAGGATCAAACTTAACATTGACCACTAAACTCTATCACAAACGTGATGGAATATTTTCTCCGTTACTATTTTGTTTCAGTAATGATGTTCTTCCTCCTAATTGTGGACTGAAAACTCAAATACAGGTTTATTGAACTTAAGGATTTCTATGGAATTGAGGATGAAAGGCCGTCAATTGGAGCCGCAGGACCCCAAAAGATGGCATCAGGACTTCTGTGTATGAATCCTAGATTTTCTTTCTAGCTTCTTTTATGGACTTTCAGTGTTGGCATTCATCTTATACTGTATGCAGCTATCACCCTCAAATGTGTAGGTGCATCAATTGGTGAGAAGCCTCCGTTGACGAAGAAATTACCGGCCACTACCACAGTTATATCCCCAACCTTCTTCTACAACCACTTATAGTGCTCAATACTTTTTTAGAATTCACTTCTAATTGGTATATTCATTTCAGGTTGGGAAGCTAAAGAGTCTATGTGAAAGCTTTTTCAAGCTGAAGTCTATCAGACTGAAATTATTTCTTCAGGAAGAGGTTTGTCGTAACCACCACTCTATTTATAAACATTAATGATCATAAAAACCCCTAGCATTGTGATTAATTAAAACCAGGATGTTCCTACATGCTGAACCTATGGTCATTCTGACAACATTTTATCAATTATAAGACTTTCTCCCAAATCTCGGACATGTCTAGATTTCGAATATGCAAGAATTTTACATAGAAAAAACTGCAATTGCCTCAGAATTTTATCTTGGGTAAGTTTTACATCTTTGAATTTTTTAGGGCTTCCCTTTACCAATGTTGGTTGACGATGAAATGGCTTCTTTAATGGACCTTGGAGTTGGCAATGATTCTACTATCCTGATAGATGAAGAGAGTTAAGATCCATTGAAGGTACCAGTCAATCTTACTTTCTCTTTGCATCTGCTGATAATTGTCGCCATTTGTACATCTTTGCTTTTCTGCTGTTCTTCAAATTTTCATGCAGGTTGTTTACGGGGCCGATTTGCTGAGCCAATATTTTCTTATTTCTTCCCTCAGCAAAAGAGTTCTTTCTATGGTGTTGTGGTAAATCTTTGGGATGATTAATTGATTACTGCTGCCTGCTTCTTTGTAAAACAACTGTTAAGAAAACTTCAATTTGAATGTTGAATTTTTCTCCTATGTGTTCAATAGTGCTTGAGATAGTTGCATTTTTATTTTATTTTTTTTAAGATTTTTAAATAATTATACTCATGGAAGAATATATTATTAGACAATTTGATCTGAAGTAATTCAATAAATATTAAAACTATGTGGAATTATGAATTATTACTAAATACTAAAGATTATTCGCATACAGTATAAATTATAAAAGGTGTAGAATTAAATTCTAATTGAATAAATTATATGTATTACAATTTATTTCAAGTGAAAAAGATTTATGTATAATGCTAGTTACAGGCTTACAGCAATAATACTTGTCATAGTGGTGGTCATTTAAGTTTTTATTCAATAGACATTTTTAGCCTTTAGGCTTTAAAAGATTAGTGGAGGTGTACGTAAATCGGTTTGAACA